CAAAAAGGGATATAATAAAAACAGTTTTATCAAAGTCTAATTAATATTAGCAAGAGTTAAGTTCTATGCCTTTTTGTCAATGTTATAACAACATGGCATTGAATCTAGCAACGTTATTTGAAGACCTGCTGTGCTGATTTCAGGAATATTTGGTCTACGACATCACCAACACTGTTGAATCCTTGGATCCACACCGGTCCTTCGTGGGCTCCAATAAGTGCATGATGGCAGCTGTGTAAGTTAAATCCCCACCACAGAGAGATGGGGGGGAACACAGTGCAAGGGGCAACCCACAAGGATTTCTGTGAGTTTCACCCGTGAGTTGATGAGGAATTGATGAAGGCACCTGAACTGATGGGTGACATTGATAAAGGTGCCTGAGAAAGTAGGCTGGGTCCAGACTGTAAAGTGCCTCGTTTGGGGATTTTCCTAAATGCTAGGGCCCGCCAATGAGGAGGAATAACCGGATCTGAGCTCACAGAGAGTCTGCGCCGACACTACCATTCTGGGCAATTAGAAGGGGCCTGCGAGGGTGCCGATACCAGGTTTCTACTGCAGGGGAGGAAAACTAACCGACCCTCCCGAGTTCTTAACTGAGACCCCTGTAATACAAGTTTCACACGAGAAAAACAAATAGAAGTTTATTAATATGTAACCTCTTGGGGGATAACCTGGGAAAAATGAGTAACTCAAAGAGGTGGCTTAGAATTCAGGCATAAATACCATCTTCATAGAGAAAAAGGCATGGGGATACAGACCCCTTGGGGGAGAGTAGATGGTTTTTGGGAAGGATAAATGGGCCCATAGAAGAACAGATGGGATTATAATAGGCTGTGACAAGGTCTGTCTGGGTGTGGTGTCCACTTCTAGTCTCCTTTCCTGTGATAAGAGTCAGTCTTCCTTGACTGATAAAACTCCTGGAGAGGAGATCAATGACAATGGAATCTCGTTTAGAGGACCTGTCTTTAGATGTATGGGAAGTTCAGGGAAAGCCTCTCTCTGCATTTGCTGGTTTTCAAGCACCTACAGCTCAAAACAATCAATGCACCAAAATAGCATATTTAAGGGGGGGCGGTGTCCTAAACTTCTACACTCATATGGTATTGGGGCAGCATATTCTGTTACCTTTCGGTATCTATTACACTAGTTCACAGGATGGAAGTGAAGAAAACAAAACAAGAAGAGGCAACAGGGTGGAGAAAGATATACAACAAGGAGGTAACTGATAGCACTAGGAAACTGATTGGATTTGAAGATGAAGAAAAGCAACAGCCTAGGGTGGCAGTGGGGCTTCTGGCAAAAGTAACACTGTGCATCCAGCTAAGACAGAGAATGTTCAAGGGGGAATGTTCATGAATTCAGTCTGGACACTTTCAGAGTGAGGTTAGAGGGAGCCTCAAATACTGAGCTATTATAGGTGTCGGGTAGGAAGTTGACCCTATGGCTGAAATTCTGGAGTGATGTCAGAATTCCAGGTAGACATTTGGGTGTCATCAGCATATACGTGGGTGGCTGCAGAAACCATGGATATACCTAGTAGATTTCTCTGCTCAAACTGATTTGTACAATTTTGGATGAGAGATGTGCTAAGTGAACTTCATATTGAGCACTGGTTTATTTGGCAGAGCGCTCAATAGTTACATGTTTGTGGACTGACTGGATGGATGTATGGATGGATGGATGATTGAATGAATGAAGAATTCATAAAAATCTATAGATATTCTCTTTTACTTTATCTCATGCTTTGTTTCAGTATTAGCTCTGGAAAGAAAAAATCTATGACTACCTCCAAGAAGCCAAAAGACAACACTTGGATATCTCTCCAAATCAATGAGCCTTTCATTTTTTTAAAGCCAACTAATTTCAGAGCCTCTGATGTGTCATGCATTATTCCTGTCAGGTCGCAGTGCCCCAGCCCCAGGTCAGGGACTGACCAAGTGCCACCTTTGCAGCAAACATAGATGGAGATGACCAGCTGAGTGATAGGCCAGGTACTGTTCGGCAAGCAAACATGTTATTTCAAACATGACTTTTCTTACATAAACGAGTCTTTACATTCCTTGACAGAGACCAGATGTTTTTAAAAGAAAGAGACATAGAGTACCAGATATTGGCACGTGACACCCATGTCTGACATAGATGGTGTATTTCAGTCCCAGCAGCTGTAGACTACACCAAGTCTCTAAATGATCAATCACACCACCATCGGGACACACAGGGCACACTGGAAAGAAGTTTCCTATTACCACTGATGGATGATTTTTACCTGTCCAGGGAAAGGTATTTCTGACCCTTTATGAGTCATTGAGGAAATTCTTCAAATGCACGGTTGTGGCCCAGAATGGCTCAAATATTTTTGCACCTCACTACAGGTACCAAATGATTTGGGCAATGCCAAGTAAATTACAAATCCATATTGTAGCTCAGAAATGTCATTAGGACTCAGATTCATTATCTGCTGAGACTTTTTTTTTGCTTTCCATTTATTACCCTCCTTTGAGTGACATGAAACTGTAGGCATAGAGCAGAGACCTCAGTTCATTCGACCTTGACACATTTTTCGTGTCTACATTTTTGCCATAAATTTGGAGACAGAGAGACAGAAATTGCAAATGCAGGTATTAAAATCCCCTTGGGCTCCATTTGTCAAGATGAGCAGATTGTAAACTGCCTCTTGCAAATATGATATGTACCAAGCTAATAACTCCGAACCACAGACTTATTCATTGGTGTGGCGTTTCCCTCCAGAAGTTTCTGAAATTGCTTCTGTGCCATTGTATATCCCAGAGCTGTTCAGGTTTAGTCAGTTGATTAGAGGGACTATCTGGCCAACGAAGTTGGGGTCCTCTTCCAATGAGAGAGAAACGACAAATTTTCCTGTTTATATCGTTGCATCAGTCTTTACAAACCATGCATTTGAAATGCTCAGTTTGGGCTTTTGGGAGGAAAGCAAGAAGAGATTTGTAGTCACTGAAATTGTTTTAGAGCCTTATAGGAACATTGATGACAAAAAAATCCAAATCATTTTTATTCTCATTCAAACTTCTGGCTCTTCTATAGAAAAATAATCTGTGTATTTTCACTTTAAGTCTCTGGCAGGGCCCTATCTTCTTATTTCCCTGATCAGAAGCAATTGCCTTTGGTTCTTGTTTTCACTTTTAACAGTTCAAGAGTCATTTATTAATATTTTCATTATAAAATATCTAAATATTGCAGATAACACTGGCGTGCCCTTCAGTTGGTGTGTCAAATTCTGATACTCTCTCCCATCCCGTCTACCCTGCTCAAAAGCATTGTTAATAGTTTTGTGTGTATTTTTCCAGATCTTCTTCAATTGGGGGAGTGTGCATGCACGCCTGGGTATGCATGAAGTATGTTTGTGTGTGTGCATACGTCATTTTAGGTAAATATACTATAAGTACCATACTGTAGCTTTCTATTTACAATGATACATCTTGGGCTCTGTTAGCACAGAGATTTCATCTTACTCCACAACAAATTGATTTCTCTCTCTCTCCCTTCCCCCACCTCTGTCTTTCTCTCCCCTTCCCTTTCTCTCTTAAAAAAGAAAAGCTCATGCTCTACACAGGTAGTAGAGGGTTAAAGATTTTTGGGAAGGGTAGTGAAACACAAATGGGCTTCCCTGGCACCATGCAGGGGGGTGGGAGGAGGAAATGAAGCTATTTTAGGAGCAGCGAAGGCACCTGTGAGACAAGGGCAGCCATGAGAGGACGAGGAGAGGGGGTGCTGGGTTGGTGATGACCAGGAAGCTGCTTGGTGTGAGTGTCTGTGAAGCGGTGGGGAGGCCTGCGGTGAGCACAGCCCACGGGCCCAATACCCTCGCATGGCTTCATTCTGTGTCTCTCTAGTCCCAGCTTGTTCTTAGTTTCATGGCAACAACCACGGCCGACGACCAAATCTTTCAGCTATAAATCCACCTCACGGCATAAACATACAAGTGTTCAGATGTCTCCAAAAATAACATGACACACTCCTCTTTCACTAGAAGACTCTGTATAAATGTTTAAAACGCTAGTTAGTCAGGTCACATGGACCTGGGTTTGAATCCTGGCTCTGTCTTACTAGTTGCGTAACATTAAGTGAGTTATATAATTTCTCTGGGTCTCAATGTTTTTCTTGTAGTAATATCTACCAGAGCAGGTAATTATGGAAATGAAATGGAATAAAACATGTAAATCATTCAGCACAGTGCCCAGCACATGGTAAATACGTACTAATTATTTTTATTTAAGTTTTTTGGATGAATTGTTTTCTGGTGAGATAAACGGAGAAAGGAGAATATAAATTATAGAGAAAGAGAAGAGGAAGAAGGACTTCACAAGCAGACCCTGGAAGAGAGGCACTTAATGACTGTCAGAAAAAAAAAATCCCGAGAGAGAAAAAGGATGAAGATGGCAGGGATTCAAAGGCAGAGGCTGAGCTTTGCTTTCTGCCAAGGTTTCATCCATCTGGCCTTGGCTTCTACGCCGGTTTTCCCCTCCAAGTGGCAGCTCCGGAAGCCTAGTGCTGCGACGCAGTTCAGGGTGACACGGCGTCTCTGAGTCACCCTGAACTTCTGTGCTCTGGGCAGGCATGCAAGAAACGTCCGTGTTCTGCTTCTGCAGTACGGCGTTCCTGGGAGACTAAGAGCAGAGAGGGGCCTGTCAAGTGAGTCGGCAGTGACCACCGGTAGACCTAATCCTGTTTCTTTTTGGCTGACAGCTCATGCAGAGAAAAACACTCTAGGATCCAGACAAGGTAAATGTAGCTGAAGTCCCAACACAAAATCCCAACCTTGCATAATCAGCCTGTGTTCACAGCCTACCAGGATCTGAGATGCCAGAGATACCAGAAACACAATCAATACCTTTCTCACTGCTGGGCTGTAGTAATGTAAAATCACTGCTGAGGGCAAAGTGCTCCAAGGGTGGAATAAGTCAGATTAGTTTTTGGACCTAAGCAAAGACACACAAAATAAATAAATAAAAAGAACAGCATGATGTCTTTCCTCAGCTTTGTTTATTAGCAGATATTGAATGGAGCATCTGTTACAGATGAGCATATAGAAAAGGAACATATAAACCCGAATAAATAATGAAATGTCTAGGAAAATGAAACGAATGGTTAACAAAGATTTCTTTTTTTCCCCCTTTGTCTGAATCCACTCCTACAGCTTTTCCCATTCTAATCAACTACAAAAACTGGGCAAAATTACAGTTCTCTGAGGAGTTTCCAGGATGATCCCTTCTGATGTGCCTTTACAAACACAAGAATTTAAGAACCAAGTTGGAGCTGGATCTGAATATAAAAATGTAGGGCACGCCTGAGAAGAAGATCAAAGGGCAATTTTTACATTACAAAAATGACCTTAACCCTGAAGAATAATTGCTTTTATAAAATTAAATAGAGATTGAAGTCATGTAGTATGATCCACCCCCTCTGCTCCGCATGCATACATGTACATGCACATAAAATGTGTACACATATATGTTTTTTTAGGGGAGGAGAGAAATATGTTTATTTCATGTTTTTGCTAAGTGACCTAAGACACGTTGCATTTTGGACTTCTGGGATGACTGGTGTTGGAATCCGCCTGCTTTTGTTGCTCACTGAAGCGGGCAGTGAGCACCACTGAAGTGGCTGCTCATCTCGAAGGTGGCTTTCCAGACGTGTGCGAGCACCTGGGGCAGCTGACTGCTACAAAGACAGAAACGCTCTCATTTCTGGGTTCCGGTATCTACCCAGTAGTCAGCACTTTCCTTTAGGCTGCCCGAGGCCAGGGCTCCTTTCATCGCTTGTGAAGGCAGCTGAGATCCCTGGTTCCTGAGTTGGGATAAGGGACACGGCTCAGTCCTGCCACTGCCTCCAGCTACTCACACCACGCATTTAACCGTGCACTTCAAGTGCAGCCCAGTGTGAGACCCAGAGAAAAGAGAGACGCCTATTCTCAGGAGGGGAGGCTGTTTAAGACTGGACCCCTGCTTTCAGATTTGGGCCTCGATCTTGCCCTTTAGTGGCGTGCATATCAATACCCCCAAGGAATTTTCCTTGGACGTATTTTTGCTTTGAGTTTGAAATAGGCTTTTGATGCTTTTTATCTAATAAAAAGCACAGGCACAGAACTGCATTCATTATTTAGACTGGAACTTATTTTGCACTTGATGGAAGAAAAATCTGGCACTCTTATTCAGGGTAATGGCACAGAGTGAAATGAACCCAATTTATGTACAGGGTTATTGAAGGAATAGAAAGCTTTCAAAGTAAGCCTGCTAAATCATTCCTTCAGTGACTGACAGACATTTTGCCCAGATCGGGATCCTGTGCTTTGCCAGCTTTTAAAGCAAAGCAAAGGAGCAATCATTTAAAGTGACGGTGAAAAAACAGCACTGAAAGAGAGAAATCCTGGAGGGTGGATATATAGTGACTGAGTATTCTCTTTTAAATAATATAGTTCACAGACCATGAAGCTGGGCTCTGGGAATCATTTCTCAGTTCATATCTTTACCTGGCAACTTTCAGTATTCGATTAAAACACATGAAAATGCAACATAAATGATGTCACCCACTTTAAAAAGAATAGTTATCTCATTCTTCTATAGGTTTCTATTTTATTTCATGATTAAAATTTTGGTATGCACTGAATGGGTGTAGTTAGAGTTAAAGTCTAATTCTGGAAATCTAGCTTCTTTGAGATGATTTGTTTCTTTGGCATTTCCAGTGAATGTCTATAAATCTATCTGATGCTAAAAAAATCTGATGTGAAGAAATTGTGTAAGTCCTTTCCTCTCTGCTCCCCACATAAAACGTCTAAAATTTCTGAAGAGGTAGAACAACATTTTCATCAGCTAATCGTCTTCTAGATTTAATAACAGGAACATTTCAGGCAATCAAAAAGCAAGTAAACAAAATCTTTAGCTGATTCCTTGAATAGTATTTTTCCAGATTGTAAATAAATAGTTTTGATGTTTTCTATCTGGCCGTTTCAGGATGCACACCAATGAAGACACAACACAGACAAAGGAGTGCCTGTGTGGAACAAAGATAGTGTACTCCATCAGGGCAATAAAAGCAAACGCAAAGGCAGGGTTTCCCACACGTGGGAAAGTACAGGCTTTATTTGCCCTGAAGAGAGCCCCTGGGCAAGACATCCTGCAATGGCCTGTAAGGGCGTCTGAGAGAGAAACAGGATAGAGCACCCCACCCAGGACACAGCACGGGCCTTCAGGAAGAGAAGTGCCCGTGGGCAACGCCTCTCCTGGCTGCAGGCTCCTCTGTGCCTCCCTTCCCGGGTCAATACACCAGTCAGTCGGCCCGCACACCAGCATCTTCTGCCCCTTCGCAGGAAGGATGATATTTGCTCCGGGCGAGAATGATCTGTGTGTTCATAAAACAGCCCGACTCAGCCACAGTAGATTTAAAAATGTAGTCCTAGGAGTCTACCATGTTGAAATCCCTTTGATTTTCTATTTGAACACTTCTAAGATTTGTAATTGTGCTATCATGAATTTACGGTCATAAGAAGTCAATTTTAAACTAAATCCTCTGTAGTACCCCCTTTCATATACATTTTCATACCGTATACAAAGTTTGGGGTAAAAGAGTTCAGAAAGGGTGGGAAAATACAATAAGTTCAAGAGTAGACATTTTTAAAACCATAAATGTACCTTGTTCTTTAAATTTTTTAAGGTTTAGAAAATTTATTAGTATTTTAATGCAGTTTAAGAATTATTATAAACCCTCTTTCAGAATACTTGTCTTTATTGGAGTTAGATCATATTCCTCTATTGTGAGCATATAGTAGGAGCTCAATAAATGCTTGTTTCAAGAAGGAATGGCTCTAAAGAGATACTTATGTTCCCCTTTAACTATTATAGCTAAATCTATAAGTAGTGTTATCTTTGTCCAAGACATTTATGTAACAAAACTAAGTTTAGTATAGGAGTTGACTTAAAGAAATACTTTAAGAATAGAAAATTTAAAGGTGTAAATTTAAAGGATTAAAAATAAAGTCTAAGGTTTGCCCACGAATCTCCAAGTATATAGCACGCTTGACCAGGGAAACGGCAGTATTTGTGAATGAATTTCAGATTAAAGAAAATTATCAACACAAAGCTGTGTACATTTAAATTAACACCAAGAAAACACAATTATTTGTAAAATAACCGAAGTAATATTCTCTTTAAACTTGCATTCTCAATACTGTCTGTGCAAAATTGCTCGTAGTGTCCTCAGATGGGTGTCTGTGGCCAGATGCGTGGAAGGCAACGCCTTCAATGATACACGCAGCAAAGCAACGTGGCCCGCTGTTCCCTCTAACTGGGTGGGGTCTGGCCAGCTCCCGGCTGTGCTTCTGAACAACTGGTCTGGATGTGTGAAACCTGCAGAACGGGCAGCAGCAGCTGGAAGGCATCCTGGATGTAGGTCGTGCTATTGCAGCCCTGAGAGGGGACAGAAATGTGGTTCAAAGGGTGTTTTCATAGTTCAGCTCTGACAAATCTTCCAGTTTGACAACGTTCCCTCTCATCAAGCCCCACAATATTTTGTAGCATTTTTCTCGTAACATTGGTGGCTTAAAGCGAATGTAAACACATCCCTTGGGATGCAGTGTGTTTAGCTCTTAATGATCCATACTAACAGAGAGAAGAATTCACTCAAAATGAAGCAAGCCATTTCCATAAACTTTGAGGACACATCAGTGTGTTTATTCATGACCCAATATGTCTAGTCTTCACTATCCCCTTCCCGGATAGCTATTCCCACTGTCTTGAAATAACACAAAGCACAGTATGAAGAGGGCTCTGGTTTGCCCTAACTTACAGATGAATGAGTGAGAACGGCCTGCATAAAGCGAACTGGAAATACTGTGTATTATGTGTGGCAAACCTTGAACCCTAGCGTCCTCCCGTGAGCGTTGGTGACTCCACTTGGTTTGGGTGTTTGACGTTGCTGGGCAGGCTCTGGGGTGCTCTGACACACAGCAGCGTTAGAGGGAGAGGCCATATAAAGCTTCAGGTAACTAAAACATGAGGCAGTTCCACTGGGAGAGTGAATGAGTACTTGACCTTATATTCTCCACAACTGACACAGTAAATTAATCTGCTGATGCCTCTGGGTGGCCAGGGGAGGGAGAGACTTCCTTGTTCCACGTTCTGCCTCTGATTGCTGGGGTTGCCTCTTAACTGTGTCTGTTCCCCCACAACCTGCCCCCACACGCCTTGTCCTTTCTGGTTGACTCCATTCTACATGCGGCTCTGTCCTATACAATAACACCTGGTGCCACCACCTTGTTACTTTTTTTGGTAGTAACTTGGTAGTTTCCCTTAACAGTAAAGCATGACTCCTTAAAATGTTTCTATGTATATAATAGGTAGCCCTCTCTTACCTGAAGTTTTGTCAATTCCAAATTTTGCAATGGACACCTAATTCCAACTGCAAAAACCTACTGTATATTCATGGCCCATGTTTAAACTTAACTTGTTAGTCCTTTATGGCATCAGCTGGGTGCTCTGTGGCTACAGATAGGTCTGCTTCGTATTTTGTAGCCCCTAATGGTAGGCTCTTCCCCCACCAACCACAGGTAGAACGCTGTGCCTTCTGACTCGAGAATGTCTCTGAGCCTTTCTTACATCAATGTTTCTGGCACAGACAACGAGGGGTCAGGGCAGCCTCCTGTCTGTCTATGCTACAGAGTCCTGGTGTATGGAGAGGCCACGGAGCCAGTGGTTGCAGAGGATTGTGCCTCTGGTCACCCAACAGGCAGAGGGTCAACAGTCTACTTGTCATTCTGCCAGTCTGAAGCTTAGAGCCCACTAAATAAACCAAAGATTATTGTGAGGGAAGGGAAGTGCCCACTTTTAGGAAAATCACAGTGTCAAATCTGGTGTCAAACTTGGCAACAGAAATCTGCTTCTGCTGGAGAAAACAGCGACAGGAATAGCATGCAAGCTTTGCGTTTCTCTTTATCATCAGGAATTCTTGGAAATTACATATTGTTGCTTCACAGGGGGGTTTACAGCTGGTTGAGCTCCACAGATGCACTCAAAAAAAGACTGCTGATGATATTTAGAATCGTAGTAACACTCGCTGCCTGGGGAAAAAGTGTAGCTGTAATATTTGCTTTGATTCAGAAGCACTTTCTCCCCGGGTCCACTTACCTCTAACAATACACTATCGATCATGGGGTTAAGGACCTCAGCCTTCTTGTCGCTCTGCAGAATCAAAAGGGTGAAATGGACAGATTAGGTGCTCATACTGCACGGCCCGCCGCATGCAACGGCACGCACCCACTCTGCGGAGGGATCTCTTGGACGGAAAGGAGAGGAGAAGTGGAAAGGGTACTCTAGACCAGGCTTCCTATTGCTGCGTCCCCTGGATGATCTCATTTACTTTTGACAGAAATCCTAGGGGGTGGGTAGGTAGGTACCATGACAACCCTAATTTAAAGATGAAAAACGAGCAATCGGGAAGGTTGAGGAACTTGTTTAGGGTCACAAAGCTAGAAATTTAAACTCAGACTCTTTGACTACGGAAGACGTGCAGCAGGTCTGGGCGCAGGTGAGGGGAGTGAGGCCGAGTGGTAGCGGTGCAGGGCTGGCGCCTGTCTTTGCTTAACATTGTTTGGCATTCATTTTGATTTTTAAAAGTATTGCATTAAAATATTTCTCCAGATGACTGAAGTTGTTTCTTTGTCTTCTGGGGGAAGCCCCCTTAAACTCTGCAGGTGAGCTAAGCACTTTAATTACCTACATTAGTTCCAGCCCTGTTCATGAGTCTCCCCGCTCCTTCTTCATGTAAATGCAAAACATGGACATTTGGTTATAGGGTGTGTCTTTCAAATCAGCAGCAAAATGAAAACAACCTTAAATATAACTTGCAAACTGGTCTGCAGATTCCAGGTTTCAAAATGTAAAAACATGTAAAGCCAAGAATACAGAGCCTGATATAAAGTAGGTATTCAAAAATGAGAGCTAGCATTAGTATCACCGCTATTATCTCCACTATTGGTCCATCCATCAGCAGCCTTCTCTACCTAAAGCTTTTGATCTATTCTTAGACATTAATAATTAAAAGGACTGGGAAGAGAGAGGGCAATCTTAGTAGATGGTTTTCCTCACTGCACCCAGAAGACTTTATGGGAAACAAAAGTACAAGATGTAAATGAAATACATCTTCCCAGAACAGCCCCCTCTTACTGACATTACCCTACTGGGGAAACCATAATGAAATTTTGGTGAGAAAAAAAATCTTTAAAAACCCAATCACTTTAGTAAGTAACCAGAAAATCCATTATGGTTTTTGCTTTCATGTTTACTTATCAATAAACCTCTAAAATATAATAAAAATGAGGGCAGTAAAATGACACTGGTTTTCAGAGTCAATGAGATGTACAGGCAATTTCAATAGAGTCTGGAGAGCAATATACACTCATTAACTTCAAGTTATGAATAATGGCTGTTGTGGAGCACAGAAACAATGACTAGATGTAAACGATTCATCACAGTGCAAGATGAGGAGGACTGTTGGGGCGAGAGGCAGTTCAGTGAGCTCTATTTAGACTTAGCTTTTCCTTTCTCCAAAATAGCAACTTGTGTGTTTCTGATTTTGTGCATGCAAACATTTGTACACATTGTGCCTACATGGTTGACCCTTGAACAACATGGGGGTAGAGGACCTGAGCCCCCACACAGTCAGAAGTCTGTGGATAACTTCTGAGGCCCCCAAATCATAACTACTAATAGCCTACTGTTGACAGAAAGCCTTACAGATTACGTAAACAGTCAATTAACACATATTTTGTATGGAATATGTATTATATACTGTATTCTTACAGCAGAGTAAGCCAGAGAAAAGAAAATTTCATTAAAAAAGTCATAAGGAAGCTACATTTACATTATTTCTTTAAAAAAACCCCACATATAAGTGGATCCTGAGCAGTTCAAACTTACGTTGTTCAAGGGTCACACATGCGTGCGCACACACACACACACATACACACACACACAAGTTCAAGTATGACGCCTGTCTGCTGAGCTTTGCTACTCAAATTGTAGAATGTGGGTCAGAAACATTGTTATCATGCGGGAGCTTGGCGGAAATGCAGAATCTCCGTCCTCATGCCAGGCCTACTGAATCAGAATCTGCATTTTACCAAGATCTCCAGGCGGTTTGCTTGCACATTCAGGTGTAAGAAGCTCTGTGCTGGAGCTACCAAATGTGAAGAGGAATGGAGAGCAAAACTGCATATTCCCCGGAGCTGCTCAAAAACCCACCAACATCACAGAAGCCTGAGGCGGCAGTGTCAGGGCTAAACCCAGTCAGATGAAAGCCTGAGCTGCCTGCCTGTCCTTGGAGACGGTGCTCTGCGCCTAGTTTCAGCAAACATCCTGGCAGAGCTTCAGTTTTGTGGAGCTATCAAAGGAGGCCCTGGCTCCTCCACTTTTGACAGAAGCCCCTCGGAGACCCATCTCCTTTAAAAAGGTGGAAGAAGAATCGGTATTCCAATCTTACCCCAACAGTGGTTAAGGAATTTGTAAACTTCTTTGATAAGGAGGCTACTTCATTGCACATTGCAGTAGTTAATCTGAAATTAAAAAAAAAAGTGGTTTGGGGATTTTCAATAAAGTAAAATAATGTTACCATACAAGACAATTACTGACATTAATACCGTATTCCACTTAAAAGAATGGCACACAAATTTGAAGATGCTTTGTAGGAACATTTGTCTTAATAACCTTTCATGATTCACAAGCACAGTTTAATCTAATCCTGGTTTTCTTTGCATGCTTGATTGAAGGATAATTATCTAATGCAGGCTACCTCCTTTTAGAATCAAAACCTCATGCAGAAGAATACCTACCAGTCTCGAGCTCCACACGTAAAGGGATTAAGATTCTTGCCAAGTGGCTTTTCTCCAGCTTTTTGATCATTTTCAAATAATAATGGACATTGATGGAGGCACTATGTTAGGTACTTTTGTATAAATAATCACATTTAATCCTCATAGTGACCTTATGGGTAACATTATCATTCCCATTTTACAGATGAAGAAAATGACTCTCAAGGACGTGAGGGACTGATAATTGCACAGGGCACGCAGTAGGAAGTGACAGAGCTGGTATGCAGACTCAGGTGTCTCTTGATACCTGGATTGTTTTTATCAGATGCTTGAAGAGAAAGATCCTATAGAATACGTTTTAAAGACATATCAAAATTCCAAGCTTATTCCAGCCATTCCACTTCCAAGACTTTACCCCAAGAAAATAATGCAAGATGGACACAAATATTTCACTAAAGCAATATGTTACATTACAGATGGTGACAAAAACTGAAAACAACCTAATTACCTAACAACATGGGTACTGTTTGATTTTCAAAAATAATATATATGACTTTAATGAATGGTGATTAAAATGCGATTAGAAAAATAATAACTCAAAGTTACGAAAAGATCTAATGCAGCAAATAGAAGTAAGCTTTGTTCTGAAAAATAGGGGTCCTTGTCTAAGCTAGGTATTCAGGTTTAGTGAGCAGTATTCATCTATCTGGCCATCTGTCCATCCTCCATCCACCCATCCCTCCACCAAAACTTCTCTGCAGAGAGGGTCAGGAGCAAAGCTAGGAGGTGGCCCAGAGCCATTCTGCCTATGTGCTTAGGCGTGTGGGTGGAGAGGCACTTGCACAGACAGATGTGAGGTCTGAGTACCCTTCGCTGTGCAGCTGGCTAAGGATGGGACCATGGGGACTGCGAAGCAGAAGGAAGCTAAGAGCCCTGCTCTCCGTACACACGGTGGAACGTCAGCCCTCCCCTTCCAAGTCAGCACGGCAAACCTGAAACAGCACCTAGGTGTTTTCATCAGTGTTTCAAACTTTTCCTATTTTTCCTTTTCCTCTTCCTTCTACACACTGAAGCGAGCAATATTCTTTCCTAGGCATATTAAGGATAGGAACGCACAGTTCTTGCAACATCTTTGACTTTCACGTGTTTAGATATAGACTAGGTGACACGTGCTGACAAGTGAGGAAAAATGCCACTCATACTGACTTTTTGGAAGGTCCTTCCACTAAAAATTTGCTCCCCAGCCTATAATGCCAAATGCAGTAGTAAGCAAAGACTAGTTAGCTACTAAAGTAAATGAGTGAGTTGAGATGTGTGTGTATGTACCCAAGTGTTTTTAGGAGGCTCTTATTTCTGGCTCCTGTGTCTGTGTCACAATGAGACGATGTTCGGGCCCGTGCTAATTTTCTACACCATGACACACAGCCATGTGTATAAAAGTTAATGGCCTATTTTTCTACTCCATGCCAATTATTTCAACAAACTCCATGCCAACTAGTTTCATGTATATAAAGTTACATACATACACTTTTATTTCACTAGATAAACTAATAATAACTTGTATGTATTGGAGAATGTAACATGTGACAACACATGTCCACATGCATGCAGTGTACAGTGAACCGGCTCACTTTAGCCACCACCATCGACAAGATTCAGAGCATTTAGAGCTGGTGGAAGTCCCTGGGCACAGTGTGGGTTCGTCTGTATATTTTTGTGAAGCTTGCTGGGAAGTCACATTAAGGTTTCCTTTCAGTATCTGTGTGGTATCTGTTGAAAATGTGATTCCCCTCAAAGGTCTGTACTTCCAAGACTTGGGTCTATGAAAATAAACACTTACCGAGCTCTGAATGCCTTCCCTTAAATCTCTTTATAAATAATTCCTGAAGTGTCTAGCTAACTGTTGTTATTCTTGTTAACATTGTTCATTTCTTAAGACAGTCCTTGTTCCTTAACGTGACCATGAACACTGGAATTATCTGACTTGAAATCTGAATCTTTAGTAGCCTCTGTGTGTGTGTGTGTGTGTGTGTGTGTGTGTGTGTGTGTGTGTATTCAAATGGCATATACATGTAAAATTGGAAAAATAAGAATTTAAAATAACATTTACTTTATCAGAACGTTTGCTTGGTCCTGAGCTGGTTTTTCCTCTTCTTGCCCATGAAGAATCAATTCCGCTACTTTGTGAAGCTGCTCGATACAGCGTGCTGTGACTTCTGCCAGACTTTCAATGGACAGCATGTACACTTCCTGGAGTGGGCAAGTGAGTAAGACAATTATTCACTGAGCAGATGCTTAAAAAACCCCTGTGATATTAAAAATGTATATATAATTATTTTTAAAAGGTTTTATTTATTTATTTTTAGAGAGGGAAGGGAGGGAGAAAGAGAGAGAGAGAAACATCAATGTGCGGTTGCTGGGAGTCATGGTCTGCAACCCAGGCATGTGCCCTGACTGGGAATTGAACCTGCAACACTTTTGTTCACAACCCGAGCTCAATCCACTGAGCTACACCAGCCAGGGCATATATAATTCTTTAAGAAAAACAAATATTACCTGACAAGTTTACCCAAAGATTCATAGGCATGTCTAAGACTCTTCTAAGTGGAGGTGCGGCCGGGTCCCCGGGACGTGGTGAGCCTTAGTCACAGCTCCGTCCCTGGTCCCCAGAGCAATGCTGCACACACAGCGGGCAGGTGCTCCAGAAGGTGTGTGAGCGAGCGGCTGAATGAAATGGGCCTCAAGGAGCGTTTTTCTCAACATGAACTAATTTTAAAAATTAGTTCCTCTAAAATTAATATCTAGCGTGAGAGGAAGTTGTTGCAAACTCATTTTTGAACACAGGCAGGATATAAATTATGCACATGTATATTTATTAAACTAAAGAATAACAACTACAGTGATAAAATTTTTTTTGAAAAAAAAGTCTTCAATTAGCTCATTAATTGTGAGGCATAAAGACATTTTATGGTTTCAAATTTGCATACAAGATGAAATTTCACCCTCAAGGTAAATCAACTATATTCTTAAAGATCTGGGTTTCCTCCCCCCACATTTTAAATTATAATTGTAGAGCCATGGAGAAAAGCTACCATACCTATGCTAAGTCACGAATTATCTTGGCATGGAGACATTTTAGTGTTTATTGTACTAATACTCATATTTCTATAATAAAAATGAAATGGCTTTTCCTCACTTAAAATTAGGCTGCGAATAACATTAACATGATATTGCTGCTCTTCAGGTGGACAATCGAAAATAAACGTACCTCCACTGTTTTAGTTCTCCTTTCCTCCTTTTTGTCGTCTTCGGGGTTTTCAGGTTTCTCTTCCTTCTCTTCCTCCTTAGTTTTCTCCTCCGCCCCATCGCCCACACCCACTGGCACGACGGTCTGATCCTCTTCCACCCAGTCATGGGCCTTCTTCATGGCCTGCGAGGGCCCCCGGCCAAAGCAAGACAGTTACCGCGTGAATATGGAGACTCAGAAATTCCAGTCTCCAGACCAGGACCAAGTTGCCCGACACCATCAAGGCTGGTTCTCTGTGTATTTGAAGAACGGTGGGGCAACTCTGTAAGCTCCTTCCAAACACCTTGCTTTCAGATGAACATAAAGTAGGGAAAGGGGACGGAACAGAAAGTCTGGAGAGAACTATACAAGCCTAGAGGATTTTAAAAAAACCCACTCTAAAATGATACTCAGAGAAGAAAAAAAATGACGGTCACCTTGAAACAGTAATAGTATATTTTTCACTGTTCATGACCAACTGTAAAAGAATCACAGTACTTTTTTTTAATATAGAGGTTAGAGACTTAGCCAGGGCATCGCTAAAGCAGATTTCCTCATCCACCATGTCTCATGAAGCCCTCAGTGTTTCATGAGCCCAATAATACATCACGCCAGGAAGATGAGAGATGGCTCTAATCTTCTCTCGCCGCTGTGCTGGGTCTTCCGACCTCAGCGGGGAGCGGAGGGGGGAGAGGAGGGCTGTTGGAATGACTAGGTGCTGCTCTGGGACTGCTTTAATTTCACAGGAGTGCCTGAAAAATCATGTCTAAATCGGACAAGGGTAAATCACCCTTCCTATCTGCTTCTCCCTGCATTTAGAAAGGAAGCTTTTATCACCCCGGTTTAAGCTGTTTGCTTAAGTGAACGCTGTATCTGAATTTATGCTAAACTTCTCATCTGAAAGCTCACACATCAAACGTTTAATATGTCAGAGTGTCGAAGGGCAAGTTCCTGGTGTGGAGATTTGGGGAGCCGGAACCCAGCAACGCTGCCCCTGGTGCGTCCTCACGGAGCCACCGAGGTTTACCTGACCACTGTAAGTATAGCGGGGGGAGCCCACACACGCTCCCCGAGCGCTGGCAGGTGCTGCTTGGAGATGAACGAGGCAATTTCCCACTGTGTTCAGGTCCCTGACCTGCCAGGATCGGTGACCTCTCTCAGAGATGAAGAAATGACTCTTCCTCCCTCCTCGCTGCCTCACTCTGCCCTCTCCTCACCCACCTTGATAAGTGAGGGCCAACTCCTGCTGGCCAAAGAGAAGAAAGGGAAAACCAAAAGAGAGAGAGTAGGACAAATGACACAGTTTTAAGTAATGAGTGGCCAGTGTCCTCCTTAAGAAACTCCGAGGCAAGACCTTGCACTAACTGGCAAAGCCTGCTGTGGAACAGTTAGAGGGACCCAGGTGCCTGCAGCTGGGATGTGCTGAGCCGTGGTGCAGCCCCAGCATGCCAGGTGGGAGGGGGCTGACCTGGCTGGCGCACTTCTTCCCTTCTGCCGAATTCTGGCCTGTTGCTTTAGCGGGGGAGGGAGCTGGGATTTGAAAAAGCCCCTTGGTGCTTCTTTTCCCTGCTATGCCAGGGATAACCACTGCTCTGAGATAACATTCTATTTTGAGGAGAAGTGACTTGTTCAAGGTCATAAGGTAATTACTACTGAAGTTGCAACTAAAACACAGGTCTCCTGACAGTCTAGCCTGTTCTCTGCCATCACACTTCATTATGCAGCCTCCTTGGATCTTAATTACTGACCCCAGACTTCCCTCCACCCATGTGCCATTTGGGGTTTTTCCATTTCAGGTGGGTCTCTGGAATTTTCTAACTCAGACCTTCCCCTAAAAGGGAAAAACCCCCACGCAGACGGTGCTGACCTTATTGAGTTTGTCAGGCGTGGCTGCAACATGTAATTCAAAGAGAAGCTCTGTAAGCATGCTAGCAAATTCTCCTCCCTTTTCTTCTGAGCCTAGAAACAGAAAATGACAGAAGTAAGAAGCATGATTAATTTTTCATCTTTCAGAATGTGGCAGCTCCCCCAGCCTACAGCCTGCCCTCAGCTGCCAGGCAAAGATGAGTTTCACCCACTCTCGACACTGAAGAGAGGCAGCAGGCTGCTGGGGGCTGCTGGGTGCAGGGGCTGCAGCCCATGGCACTGGCTGTGGCGGCCCGGGCTGCTCAGGAGGCAACGTGAGGAGAGGAAGGGACATATCTGCCTTATTTGCAGCTATAGGTGGTCAGCAGCTACTCAGTGAAAAAGTGACTGAGTGAACAATGAATGCCATTTCTCAGGCCCGAGTGACCTGGGACAACACTGTATTGATGACTTAGAGTCTTGTAATGCCCAGCATTGCAACCCGGATGCCACCTGGGGCGCCCTTTCCTGTCCACAGAGCCGCCGTGTTGAGGAAGCCAAATTAGCCTCAGTGGAGGAAGTGGCGTCTGGACTGAGCCTTCAAGAATGAGAAGGCATGAGTTACACACACAAAAGAGAGTTGGGGGTGAGTGGGGGGAAGAGAAGTTGGGGTGGGGGAGAAAGAGAGAGAGAGAGAGCTTTCATCAAAAGCTGAGAGTCTCTCTCTGATAGGGAGAGGTCTTACTCTCACCCTCTCTGGGTTGGCAAACTCAGAGGGACAGGGGCACATCTGAGCATCGACAAGGTCTCGTTCCCAAACTGCCTGGTCCTTCTCATTCTGTGGGAGGCAGGGTCACGGGGTGGAAAGAGCCTGCACCTGAGCGTTGCAGGGTGGGTTCCACCCCGGCTCCAGGATTTAATGGGTCTGTGACACGGGGCCAGTCATGGGGCTTCTTAGCTTCCAAACTTTCCTCTGCACATGTAGGGTAATAAAAGCCACTCCTCTCCGCTCTAGCAGTGTTGTAAGGACCAAATAATATAACAAATGCAGAAGTATTTTGTAGACACTGAAGTTTCATGTAACTATATTGTTAAGTGCTACAAAGATACAACATTAGGAGATTAAAAATATTTAAGAATAATCAACACTGTGTTAGGAATTAAATACTTTGTACAGCCCCAACTTTTAAGGGTCCATTTATTCTATAAAACAGGAAAACACACCAATAGCTTCTGCCAAATATTTTAGAAAAAAATCAGAGAGAAATGGAAGTAGACAAAAACAGATGATAAAAATGTTGCAACAAAGAATACCTATTACTACAACTCTTAGTTTATGTATAAGGTGAGAAAACCTTCTCCAAGGCAATATAGAACTAGAAAGTAGCCTTTAAAAATCTCTTTATGACAGTGGTAAACCAAATGAGAGACCCATGGCCGTGTGGTAAAATTATACTCTGCTGGAAAGACAAACATGTAAATCATTAGCTAACGTTATTAACTGCCAGGGAGACTGATACTCAATTTATCTAAAAATGACAGTTTATTATATTTTTGGAGACCATTGAATAAATTATTTAGGTGTTAGGAAGCTTTTAGGAATGCAAGTGCTGACAAGAAAAACATTGATGGCAACATTCTAGTTTCTTCCCTAGTGCCGCTCCCGGACTGTCTGCTTGCCCCGCGGATACGTTGTAACGCTCCATCATAACTTGACTGATTAATGGCTACCCTGTTATTCTCTTCTCCTGGTTCTTTGAGCATCCAAATACCATTTCTTTATTAAATTAATTACAATTATTAGTGGTTTGATCATCTGGAGGTACCCTTTGGGAAAATGGATATGTTACAGGAGATTATAGGGTTCTGTCGCTTAAGGAGAGACAGATTTAGCATATCTTACACATGCTATTTAGGACTTTAATTTATTTTGTCATATTAAAAAGAATCTCAGTTTACTGAGGCTCTACACAGAGCCTGGAACACACCGTGCTCTCTCTGACAGGGTTGGATCAAGGTTCCTTCCCCAGAAGCTGCACTGGCTGGGGCAGCAACGCTGCCTTAACCTGCACCGGCAGCAAGCTCTCCTTGACGTTATGGGGAATTTGGGATCCCCTTTTTATCCTTTCTGAGTGAATCCCTAATAGGACCCTGGTCTACCTCAGGCATCCAGGAAATGAAGAGAAATAGCCTGGCTCTTTGTGGTGACTGTTAATCTGGAAGATAGGCATCTATACTATTTCATCCTGAGTCCAGAGTACTAGCTCCATGACCTTTAACAGCTAGCCTCATAGTTTCTTCATTATTAACACAGAGACAAGGCTGTCGTCCTTTGTGACTTTGGAGAAACATACAAATGCTCAAAAACATAATTCTCCAACAGTCTCTGTGATATTGGCCTCTTTCTATGCTTTGGTATAACTGATTCTTCTGTTCTGATGCAATGAGCATAAAGCTCATTAAACTGAAGGTCAGTGTGTGGGGCTGAAGGGGGAGATCGTATTTTAAATGACAGTTTGCAAATGCCTAGGATAATTTTGGCCTGAGCATCGAGGAAGAAGCATCGGGAGCACGTGTGTTTGAGCTCTGGTGAAAGGCACGGAACACACCTGGACACAAAAGACTCCGGCGACCTGACGGAACGGATGTACGTTGCCACTGCTCCGTGAGTGGGCGACAACCAGGGCACCCCTAAATGAAAGCTACAACTTACTACGCCTTTACTGTCTTCCTGGCATTGTGTGAGCACTTGAAGTAATAATCACAGGTAACATTTTTGAGCTGTTCTGTGGGCCAGGCACTGGCAAATACATATTTGTACATGTACTATCTGATTTCAATCCTCACAATAGCCCTTGAAAATATGTATCATTGTCAGTCTTTTACAGGTGAGAGACTGAGTTTCAGAAAGGTTACAGCACGTGTTCAAGGCTGTAGAGCATGTAAATGGTGCAAATGTTTCAAGTGGGACCCTTCGCGTGGTTCCAGAAGCCAGCTCTGTCCTGTCCACGGCTGCTTGACCCTTCGGCAGAACCGGCAAGAATGCCGTGGCTGTAGTGTGTAGTGATGCCATGAGTAAGAAATCACTGCCCACGTGCGTACCACGTGTTTTAGTACGTTCTGCTCCCAGATGGACAGCTTTATCACCAAGCATGCCTACCTTGGAGATCATTTTCCCCGCTCTGCAGGAAGACTTGCTTCTCACAAAATAGGTCCCAGTGTGCTGGGGGCCACGCCACGGTCTGGCTGGAGGGTTATCAGGAGAGCGCACCTGGCTCAGCTCAGTGATTGACAGCCTGACACGTAAAGCCCTGGTATGCTATGTGCCTTTCTTTGCATGAACTGTAATTTTGAGGCAGAGCATATGCAACTTACAAATACATAGAAATTAAAGGAGAGAGGAAAAACAGGAAAAGAAATCCACTGACGGACCAGCCCACACCAACATCAATCACATCCAACAACTTCCACATGCAGATACACCAATCAGATATCCAGACGTGTACTCTAGTCATCAGGGCTCTGATCAGCGAGTGGCTGCCCTTGTCCATGGGACCACACCCAGTCTCTGTGTGCCTGTGAAGGGCCGGCGATGGTGCTGGGCACCGGAGCAGTAAAGGTGCCTCCGTCAGGGGCTCCCACCCCGAGAGAAAGGACTGTAGGTGAACGTGGCCAGCTCCTGTGGCTCGAGCAGGTGCATAGCATGTTTTGGAAGTAGGAGGGGGGAGCGGTGAATGAAATGATTTCACCCTGCTCAGAGGGCTGTGCTTATGCATGGCTGCGCCGTAAAGATCACACCAACCGTTTGTCTCCCTGTGAACCCATGATTTCCCTTTACCTTGATCTTCCTGATTCTCTTCATTCTCCATCTCTTTGGCTGCAAAGATGTCTTTAATGGAAATTAGGTCATTTTTTAAGAGCTCCAGCTTCTCTCCATCAAATGATGCGAGAAATGACTGAACCTGAAAAGAGAAGTAGGTCAGCACCACTGCCATTCTCTCTTCTCCTTAATAACGTTTCCGTGCAGACGACCCTGGCTCTCCTGGGACCCAGGTGACTCGGTGTGGGAGGCAATGCTGGGCTGAGTTGCCAGTGAACTGTGCGACTCTAGGTAAGTCACATGAGTTCCCTCGGCCACAGTTTGTGAATGTTTAAAGGGAGATTAGCACTTCACCGAGGTCCTGGTGCGGTAAGCGAAGTAACAGATGTGAAGTACAGTGCAGGAGTGCACGCGGCAGGTGCCAGGTGAGCGGTGGTGGCAGCTCTTCTGTGACAGTGACTACGGACACACTTCAGTGTCAACCCAGCATTCAAACGCCAGCTGCTCACTTACTAGTTATGAGACCTCAGGTGATTTATTTAACCTTTCCATGCCTCAGCTTCCTGATTGGTAAAAGGGGGACTAATAGCATCTACCTTATAAGGGTGATTTGAAGGTTGAACGAAACAAGGTACTTAAAAGTACTTATAGCGATGATTGAGAAATTTTATATAGGCACACATAGACTATGCACATACGTACACATGTAAATAAACATAAATGAATAAATAAATAAATACACAGGTATAGATACAGTTGCTAGATATGGGTTATTGAGCTGGGGTTGCAAAAATACACAAAACACATTTTTCTTCTCAGAGATTTTGTTGTCTAGAGGAGGGAGGCCCATGTTCACCAATAAGGACAGGGCAGTTGTGAGTGGAGGCACAGTGGGGGCTCCAGGCAGGGAGCGGCCCACCCCCAGGGGAGGCGCGAGGCTGTACAGGGAGACCTCACAGTGCGCTGAGGTCCTCCCTGACCTGCTGTTCTCCCTGCCCGTCGCTTTCAGATTCCCCCTTTTGAAATGATCCTTCGTACATGCTTCAGAATTATTTGTACAGGTGGCCAGTCATGCTCTGTGAGTCTGAGATTGATTTCAATTTCCAAGATGGACAAAGTGCACGGAGAACCACATAAAAAGTGAGGTATGACTGTAGAAGAGTAAGGCTTTTAATTTTTCATTCTGCAGGTCCAACGCTTGCTCTGCAGGGAGAGCCTGCAGAAGAGGCACTGTGCCCTTTTGAATGTTTTAATATTCATTGCGGTGGTAGATTCGCACGGCAGGATAAGTGAGAGAGTTATCGAGGGCATCGGGACTCCAGAGCACCGTTTTCCTAAACGCCACCACTTTCCTAAACGTCACTAATGCAACCAGTGCCAGGGCTCTGGGCGCGCGACGTCCACGCGAACCCCATTAGCTGAGCCCAGCAGGTGACAGCGAGTGCGCCCTGCACGGTGGCTGCTGCCCCTGCTTTCGGTCCAACCTTTTCAGACTTTGTTTCAGCTCACACACTCATGTTTAGGCCCCAGGGTCCTAGACATGCCCATGTCATATTCCTACACTTCAGGTGTATTTCCTCAGGAGAAGTTTTCTAAGAGTACAACAAAAAAGGTAGTTGAATAAGCGTGTCAAGAGTAGAACACTAGTGAAAATGTACACACACATGCAGAACAGTTTTGTTTTACTGAGTTTTCTGGAGGGTAGCTCTCCCCTAGGAGTGATTGCAGTGGAGTTTTCTGCTTTGGGAAGCCCCTGGAAGGGTTTTCTTTGTTTTGTTTTTTAAGCAAAAGAGTTTTGTCAGCATGTCCACTACAGCATCATTTTTGCCTCCTCCTAGTTAGTTTGCTCTGTTATGCCAAGGCAATGTGCACTGAATCTTTATTTCAATCCAATAATAAAAAATAAGTAAATATGCACTCCTCAATAAATATTTGTGGGATGCTGGCTATCTGATTAGCACTGTGCAGTCAGGAACACCAGGGTAGACAGTCTACCTTACAGACTTTTCCTTAAAAGGGGGTGCTGGGTGCTGTTTTGAAGATTCTTGTTTACTGTTGGGCTGGCCAAAAAGTCCATGACGTTATTTCTGTACGATGGCTCTAGTAAGTTGTCTTTAATTTTATTCGACACAATTTTGTTAGATTGTATTGTGACAGCTCTCATATCAGCATGCATCTAAAAAAACTTATCAAAATTGGTGAATTATTGTGCAGCCATTTTAATATTGAAGATGGAAGAAAATACACAGCTTTTTCAGTATATTTCAATTTAGTATTCAATAATACTTAATTATTTCAAGAAAGGTAAAAGCACAACTGAAACACATACAAAAAGATTTGTGCAGTGTATGGAGAAGGTGCTGTGACTGATGGAAAGTGTCCAATGTGGTTTGTGAAGTTTCTTGGTTCTATTGATGTTTTAGCCAAATAATTCTTTGCTGTGGGGCTGTCTTATGCACTGGAAGATGTTTGGCAGCACCCCTGGCCTCTGCCTACTAGAAGCTAATCGTGGGAGATAGCCGACATGCTCAAAATATCCAAATCAATACACTTATTAGTGAAAATGAAAAAAGTGTCTTTTATTTTATGGAAAAACCCAAAAGGCCAACCCAATATTTTTGTTGAATATTGAGCATGATGGCAATACAGTGATTAACTTTTCCTTAAAGATTTACAGATTATACCACACTGCCATGCAACTGTCCTAGAATCAATCTTGTAGGTAGTAATGCTAGAAAGTCCTTATATTTTATAATATATTATATTTGCCAGTGGAATGTGAGCAGAAGAAATAGAAATCATTTCCGGGTTAAGGCTTTTAAAGATGGGAGGGTCCCCTCTACATTCTCTCGCCTCACGTTGGTGGGGTTAAGAAGGCACTAGACGATGGTAAAAGCCAATACTTCAGCCTTGGACACAGGGGTGTCCACAGGACCACAGGGAGATGCCTGCCCAGAGCCTATGCTCCTCCTTCTAGACTGCCCACCCTTCTCCAGGTGACCCTCCAGGTCCCCTTCCACGGCCTGAATGGACCTCTTCCCCAGGCTGTGCTCCTTACAGGGGGCTGTCTCCTGCAGAGAGCCCTCCTAGGCCCAAAGGATGACGAAGAGGTGGTTGTTTGCAGGGAGAGAGTGGAACTGGTATCAAGTCCTCCTCACATGTGCCCATGAGGTGCTCTGAGGGGAGGGCCGACTGGAGATGAAGGCAGGAGAGTGGGCAGGAGGAGGCTGTGGCGATCGGAGGTGTCTGGGGGTTCTAAACAGGAACCCAACCTTCCAGGTCATTACGTTAGTGTATTTGTCAAGGTAGGGTGACAGAATACATTTTCTTCAGCAGTCTCTTTCTCAAGGTCCTTTTACTTTTAAATATTCGTTTTGTGTAGGTTGCCAGATGAAATATAAGACGTTTAGTTAAATTTGAATTCTGGATAAACAATGAATATTTTTGTCGCATAAATATGTGTCCCAAAGATTGCACGTGACATGCTTAAGCTAAAAAAAGTATACATTGTTTTTCTAAAGTTAAAGTTTAACTAGTTATTCTGGATTTTTACTTGTTAAAGTTGACAACCCCAGTATAGGTCCCCATTTGTATTCTTTCCAGAGGCCGAAGAATATTAGGATGGGCCCCCGGGAGGCAGCAGACGGACAGAGCCTGGCTCCGGGCTCCCTCAGTGCAGGAAGGCTGCCCGCTGATCGGGCACCCCGCCCTGGGCTGGGAGAGGAGTAAGGACGACTCCCGGCTAATGGTTCTGACCCAGACGTTTTCAGGACTGTTTATCACAGCACCCAGTCACTACCATTACCAAGCCAAGAAAAAAAAAATGTTGTATTCCTTACTAGGGAAACTACAAACATCTCCACGTTGGGAAGAGAAAGCAGTGTGCAGAGGGCAATGCAACCCTCCAAGGGCCTCACCCCCCTCCTAGCAACAGCCGTTCTCTGGCGCTCCTGTCTGGGGGCCTGAGGCTGTTTCTCCGCTGAGACCTGCAGTGGAACCAGGCAGAGTGAAATCTCTCTCTCTACTACCACGAGAGCTTCAAGGGCCCATGCTCACCTACAACGCTTTTAGTGATGATAACAAATACATATGACATAAGAACGCATAAAAAGTAAAATGCCATCAACATTATAGAAGCGTATGCACGTAGAGATATATAAAATGGCAGCTAACATTTATCGATTGCTCATTAAGTATTAGGCATGCTGTGACTAACTTCACATGGATTTCATCAATTATTTTAATAACCCTATGAAGTAGGTTTTCATTATTATTTTCGTTTAATAGACAAAGAGACTGAGGTAAGACAGATTCAAAATCATACAGCTACTGAGCTGCACTGGATCATGTAACATTTGACCTGACGCACAGGTTTTGTAAAGAAAACTCTGTGCCTCAGTGGGAAAGTGCGTTTTCTAAAACACACCTCGCCAGATCATCGAATCCTGATTCTATGGGAGTAATTTTATAACTCTGGAAATTGTAGATAGCCGACTGCAGTGTGAAACAATTGTCTAGAGACACGGGAATGAATTTTCCCGGTGGAGCGGCAGCCTCCTGTGAGAAAACCAGGTTTGCGTCCTTTCGCACATTCACTTCAAAATCGCTTTACTCCATATAAGTCAGAGCTTCTTTGGCTTTTCCTTTGAATCAGTTACAATAGCAGGTTGGTTCCTTCATTTAATTAATGAGCTAAATAAAGTCTTTAGTTCGTGTTCATTTTAAATCTGTATAAGACTCATGATTTTCCTGTTAAAAAATTGTTCATTACTGGTATAACCATGAGATGGCTCGTGGATAACTAAAAAGGAAACAAACACAGAGAGTAACCTGTAACTCGATAACCCCGCGGGTGGGGAGTGGGGATGTGGGTCTCTACTTTGTTTCGTTCTCGGTTGCCTGGTTATGTGGCCGGTGGCATCTTCCCCTGACTAGGTGGCCATGAAGACTGTCCCAGCCTCCTCAGAGTCCCGACACGAGAGGAGAAGGCCTAGAGAGAGTCCAGATGTTTCCTCCACTCTGAGGCTCTCTTCCAAGCTCAGCTCCCTGTCTGAGCACCCGCCTCTCCCCAGGGGGTGGCCCATAGCCCCTCGGAGCCCACAGCCTCTCCCGGGAGGCCTGGAGGGCACTGCCCTGCGGCCCCCACTGGAAAAACACCCCAGAGTACAGTCAGCCTGAGTTCACACAAAAGAGCCATATATACAATTAAGTGATTTAATAGGTTTAATGTGCTTAGAATAGTGACTATGTAAGTGCCAGTACAAGCATTTGCTAACTAAACACACATGTACCCCCACCCCCCCACACATAGATCTTTTAAAAAATAAACTACCAAACCCTGCTGATTTCTGCTTTTCATGTTTTGTTTATTGGGATCACCGTAGGGGAGATACGGCCATGCAGGGCTGCTGGGTAATTTCTCAGGGTTTTGTTCAGGGGCATTCCCAACTAGAACTGTAACTGCCAGCAAGCTAATCCTGCCCTTTGTAGTTCCGACAGTCTAACAAATGGGCGATTAAATACAATATATAAGCCATAATACCAAAAATATTAAACCTCCACAGTCTGGAAGAAACATCAGCTGCTTTGTTTTCTTTGTGGGGGAAGGGAGAACGGCTTGGTAGGGCGTCTCTGATGCGTGTACTATGTCACCGAAGGGAAGTGCAGGGCCGGGAGCCTGGCAGACAAGCTCTCGAGCAGCCCTTTGCACCATTACATAGGTAGTGATGACTGTTATTGTGCCGGCTCTGTTGGGCGTGGGGAGGAGACACAGCCCAGTCCACAACAGAGAGGAAATAACGTGGAGCACAGGCTGCACAGCATTTGTGACCTTAGCATACAATGACACTCTAACAGTGAGATGTTCTAATGGCAGGTTTTCTAGCATCTTTCCTGTTTAAGAAAACACAGTGATGAAGATGTCATTTAAAAAGACCAGTGCAGACATACCTTGCTTTCACTTTCATTGGACAGAATTTCCAGAGCTTCCAGGTGTGACAAACCTTGATACTCGTCAAACAGCATCCCGTAGTGTGCAGTCCTCCCGGCCGGGAGCTGCTGCGCCAGTCTCTGCTTCTCTTTCTCCTTGGCCTCCCGTAACATCTGCCAGATTACACAAAAGTTGTACACTCCATGGTGCCCGAAAGTCCCATTTCCTGCCTAAGACGTAGGCAGCGACGAGGACTGACTTTGTATTTGTAAGAGTAGGTTTTAGTCATTTTGGAGGTTCTTTAAAAAAATGACACTTTTGATTGATTCTACTGACAATTTTTACATAATATTCCACTTGGAATTTTACATGTTCATTATGCACACAACAAAACAAAGCAAAAATTCTGTGCCTGGGGACTAGGCCCGGAAAGAAGCACAACAAAAGCTCAACACCGGCTCCCATGGAAATGTTTTCCATGTGTGCGATTAATTTCTTATTCTCTAAAATGTCCAACTTTTTTACAACGAGCAAATTTATGCGCATCAGAGAGGTTTAATCTGTCATGACAGGATTCATTAATTGCAGCGTCTGCACCTAGGCAGACTTCACAGCCGAAGTAAACGGACCTGATTTTATCTGAGTTACTGTATTTAGAATTGTGTGTGTGTGGTTATTAAATATCTTTGATGAAAACATTAACAGAATATAAGCTAATAATGTATTTCTTACTAGATATTGAATATAAACAAGAATGTTGGCTTATCTGTTCTTAGACTGATCGTGAGAAATACGACCGTGAACAGAGGCACTCTCCATGTTTTGTTGGTTAACTAGAAAAACAGCAAAATGAACACACGCCCGCCATCACTCCCAGTTTCCTGCACTCACTTTCTTTGATTCGAAGCCTTGTTTATTTGCTTCCTCATCCAGTTTACTGGGGCATTAAGTTTATAGCGTTTTTTCATATCCGTGAAGAGCACCAGTGTGTTTATACACTGGCCACCACGAGGTCATAAAGGGAAGACGGTGGAAGAACAGATTTTATTTTTTATTGTGTGCCAATAAAACAGCCATTTTGGGTCTTAAGGTTGTTGGCCGATAACCCACTGGGTCACAGCCAGAATTCTCCCTCCTGCTTGTATTTAAGACTACATCAGTGCAAGCTCCAAATTTTAAAGTTTTCAGGACAACCCCATCAAACCTCTGGGAATTTTTAACACAATAAGGCCTAGTGAAGAAGGCTGAGAGGAAAAACATTGGTTCATTTGAAACGTGCTGTCGGAGGAGAGCTCCACAGATGGACCGCCAGAAAGACGAACAAGTGGGTCCTGGGGCAAATGAAGCCTGAAACGTCGCTGGAGGCCAAAATGACACAACTACTGCTGCCCGACTCTGGGCACATCCTGAGGAGTCGGGGTTCTTTGGAAAAGGCAGTGATGCTGGGAAACAGAAGGCAGCGGGAAAGGAGGAAGACCAACTAGGAGGCAGATAGACTGATGCCATGAGAGAAGCCGTAGGCAGGAGTCTGCAGGGGCAGGGCAGGGCTGCTGAGGTCGGGACCCTGGGGACATCACTCAGTCACGGGGTCATCGGGAGTCAGAGCCGACTCAAGGGGAACGGTGTGTGTGTACATACTGGACACCGAAAATGCATTTGTGGAATGAATGAGCGAATAAAAATTACTGCTCAGAAGCAGGTTAAAGTTGGTAGTACTCTGGTGACGCAGGGCAGCAGGCCATGTGAGTTATACAGGGGCAGTGCTCGGGTGTGCCCCAGAACAGTGGGCACTGCGTGTTTTGCACATGTTTCAGATGAGTAAACTAGAGCAAACGCTGCAGATGGTCCGCACAGCTTCTGGGGTGACACATTTCTGTGAGTGTGGCTGCCCACTTTTCATCAGTAGATTGAATACAGGTACGATAAACACTGTGAAGGGGGCTCGGAAACTACGGTGACCTGGGAAACTGGCCAGGCCCAGTTCTTCCTTTTACAGGGTATGAACTTTTAGAACCATAAGAAACCTATGTTTGCTGTGTGTAAGCTGCCCCATCTGTGGTATTTGGTTACAGCAACCTGAATGGACACAGATAAATGGCATAAATGGAATAATCTTCAAGAAATTATTAAATGAATAAAGCCAGGTACAAAAGAGTGTGGTCAGTAAGCAACTCTGATTGAAAAAGTATACACATATGAATGTGTATGTGGCTACACATATCTTTATCTATAGCTACATCTTTATATCCATACGGTAATTCTGACAGAATCCATAAGCAGCTGTTACAGTGGTTGTCTCCTATGTACAACTAAGTGGCCAGGACAAGGGGTGTATCAGGAACTCAGTTTTTATTCTGTATTATTTTGTATCATTTGAATCTGAATGCCTAATAAAAGCCCTGGCTGGTGTGGCTCAGTGGATTGGGTGCCAGCCTGTGAACTGAAAGGTCACCAGTGTGACTCCCAGTCAGGGCACATGCCTGGGTTGCAGGCCAGGTCCCCATTTGGAGATGTGTGAGAGGCAACCAATTGATGTGTTTCTCACATATTGATGTTTCCTTCCCTCTCTTTCTCCTTCCCTTCCCCTCTATCTAAAATAAATAAAATCTTTAAAAATGCCTAATAAAGAAGATCATTGAGAATGTATTTATTTTACTGACTGAAAGAAGAACTGGCAGAAGCACGTCATCCCACCTGAGACAAGGACACGGTTCTCTCCATGAGCGTCTTGGTGCGCCTGAAGCCCGGGTCGCTCTCCGCGAGCACAGTCATGGTTTTCTTGCCGATGAACTCCAGGGCGTCGAGCCCGCCTGTCAAGACGCTCTTCCCCTGCAGAGGAGATACTTGCCTGAGATTACATTTTTACATTTTGCTCTTTCGCAGCAGTCAGCAACTCCTAGACGGCTCTATCTTCAAGTATTAAAATCAATATAAAGTCACCATTTTTTTCACTGGAATTTATCATCCATTTAATCCTATTTTCTTCCCCTTCGAGGAGCGCGTCGTATAATTTGTAGGACATTCAATGTTATTTTAAAAAAAAGGATGGTTAGGGGAAAAAGCCAAAGCATATTCAGGATTAATTTTGCCCTGCTCTGTGTGTATGAAGAGATATATGTTTAAGACATAAAATTAATAGGTGACCCAATTGCTACTTTTGTTTGAAAGAATTTTAATCCAAGTAACAGAGTTATTTGGAACAATCTATTAAAACATCCAATACTCTTGCCAATTTGGGGAATTCTTTAATCTAGGGCCCTGGAGGGTAGGGCCCTCAGGCTATTTCAGACGGCTCTTCTGCAGTTCCAGAAACTAGTGACTACTGCCTATAATTAGCATATTCATGAAGTGAGGCAGGCTGCTTTCCATATACCACTGGTTTTAGAAACTGTTCTCTTATATAGTTATCCTCTTGCAAATCCCTTTGTCAGCCCTGGTTTTCCTTAAAAAAAAAAAGATTGAAACAATCAAGATTTACTGGCATAAACTGTTCATATAAAGAGAACTGCTTAAATTCGTGCGACCTCTACTCCTGTCCTCCAACCACACGACAGCAATTGCAGTGTGTACACATCCGTGCTTTTCCCACCTTACATGAGTTTTACACATTACATTTTATTATTATATGATTACCTATATGCATCTTCCGATCTTCGTAATTATCACTTCAATAGCAATATTGGATTTCACTGAGTTAATGTACTTTATTATTTCCATCTTGGACATTTAGACTTTGTTTTCATATTTGAGAGCAATCCACAGTCACACAATAAAACATCTTAAAATACACCTACTGCTTTGGGAGCCCTAGGGGATATCAGCAATTCACCCTTCTGCATAATTTGATTTATTTTCTCTTAACACTCTGTGGGGGATCACTTCAGCAGAGAATCAAGTGGAAGGATGAAGGTCATAGGAATTTTGAGTAAAGGGAGACCAGCTGGGGGCACCCAGATCTTGGGAAAGAGGAACACAGCGCCCTCTGATCCAGGGTTTCACTTCCATGGTTTCAGTTACCTGCGACCAACTGCCATTCAAAAACACTACATGGAAAATTCCAGAAATAAAGAATTCACATGTTTGAAGTTGTGCGCCATTCTGAGTAGTGTAGTGAAAGCTCACGCCCTCCTGCTCTCTCCCACCCTGGATGCCACTCGTCCCTCCATCCGTTTGTCCAGCAGACCCACGCTGCGCTTGCTACTGCCCATTAGTCACGTGGTGGCTGCCTCAGTTATCAGACCGACTGTGGCGGTCCCACAGTGCTTGTGTTCAACTCACCCTTGTTTTACTTAACAATGGCCCCAAAGCACAAGAGTAGTGATGTTGGCAGTTTGGATATGCCAAAGAGAAGCCACACTTCTTTCCAGTGAAAAGGAAAGTATGCACAGGAAAACAAACAGTACACAGAGGGTTTAGTGCTGTCCACAGTTTCAGGTATCCACTGGGGTCCTGGAACACACCCCTCGCAGAGAAGGGTGGACCCCTGTGCCAGAAGGTGGGAGAGGACACAGAAAGGAATGTGAGGATGCTGGAGAGAAACTTGGAGTGCTTTGCACTGGAGCTCAGGGAGACCATGAATTCATTTCTTATACCAGAGATATTGAAAGAGCTTCTTCCCACCCCCAGCCCTACAAATTCCCCAGGGCTTACCAGACGTGTATTGCTATTTGATCCTAAAACACATTTGCAGCCCCTCATTCACCCTACTTAGCCTAGAGGTCCTCAAGAGCCAAGGAGAGGAGTGGTCCTTCCCTATTTCCGGCACATCCTGCCCCAAGCCTGGGTGGGATGCCCTCCCGTGTGCGCCCACAGCCCCTCCTCAAGCCCTATTGCACTGCATATGCCTGGTGAGTTGTCCCCGTCTTCCAGGATACTGTGTCCTCTCGTTTGTCAGCAGATGCTCAGCATGCAGCGTAGCTCCTGGTATATAGTGAAGGTTAATTATCTTTTTAAAAAAACGAATAAAGGAATGCATTGGACAGGAACTACATTTCTAGAAAAACTAGTTCGCTGGTTTTACATAGCACAAAATAAACCTTTCTTCCTGGCCCCGAAGACCCGCTAGCTGCCTCAACTCATTTTTTCATTATTCATCTGTTCCGTTGCCGTTGCCGATAGCAAGTTTCTTTAAGAGGTAGGCAGCTCCCCCAGTGAGGGGTGGGTGTGGGGAGGGGGAGACTTGGAGTTACCAGAGGAAGTGAGAGTAGAGATTGGGAGGTGGGAATGGGGGAAGAACATTGGTCTCAGTTATCTGGAAACACTTTAGAGACATCTCGGGGATGTTGTTCCTGACCCTTTACCAGCGTTTATTTTTATTTAAGTGCTTTATAGAATGTTTCGAACAGAAGGTTAAGGGACACAGAGCACTGAGGGAAAACAGCTGTCCCAGCTCTAAGGAAGAGCCCTCTCCCCCCAACCAGACGCTGTCCTTGCAGCCGCTGGAGGACACTGTTCCATGAGCCTGAACAATGTGCCTTTTAAGCAGCAGCTGTCTGTTAAACATAAAACGCATTTTCTTGTGCTCTTATTATTCTGGTTCCAAGATTACGCCTACTCTGCCAAAAAGCACCACAAAACCACGGTCCGAAGTTATGAACAAGGCTGTCTTTTCTCTGATGTACCTTGGTCACGGGTAAATAGCGATATCAAAAGAAGGTGCTGGGAGGTGCCATGGAAACAGAGGAGGCAGCTGAGGACTTACTGTGTTGTGAACCACATTGGTGATGGCTGACAGCATGCCCCGAGACCCCGAGGACGGAGAAGTGGGTGGGCCTTCCGCAGGGCTCTGATCTGCGGCTGCATCTGCTATCAACGAGAGAAGCATCCTTTCAGAGTTCATTCTGCTGATCTGGAAGTTTCTATTTGTGCATATAGTGTAATACAGCCCAAGTCCAAGAAGCCCCCCGAGTAAGTATGTCACTCACTTTGAGGGGCGCTGTTTTCCGTGTCGGGTTGGGCCCCTTCAGGGGAGCCGGAATTCCCGCCATGAATCCGTAGAGTGGCCCCTGCTTTTTCCTTGACTGCTGTCAGTCCGTGACCTATCAGGAGAGAAAAATGTGGTTCGTGGGCACAAGAGAAATCCACGGCCTGCAAATGCCACAGCTCATCTCCCAGAGTTGTTGTAAGAAAGTGTGGTGAGGAACAGCAGAGACTTTGCAGCCCCCTGGACGTGGGTTCGAATCCCAGATCAGCCTCTGCCTAGTTCAGCGATCTTGGAGAAGTTTCCTATTCTGTCAGTGACTCGGTTTCTTCATTACTGTTGTGAGGAGCAACGGGAGAAACCTTTGTCAGGTGCTCTCAGGTGCTTTATTATTCCCTTTGGCTTCTCACACTGTCTAACTAGCAACCTGGGATTCCACACCTTAGATATTATCTGTGAATAGTGTTCCTGTCTCATCCTCTTTTCTCTTTTCCCAGCTCCTCCAGGCAGGTATGTGTCATTCATTTTTTGATTTGTCGCAGGCCTTCCACTGTTATTTGGTGAATTGAAATCGGTTGAGCTTTAACCTCCTCTTTCACTGTGTCAGTTATTCCTTTCGCATGGACAGAGCAGGGTCTGATGTGTCAAAATCAAAAGGCAAGTCAGTGGGAAAACCAGCAAGGGCACCCCGCAGCTCTGACTGTTGTCTGAGGCGGTAACCGCATAAACACAAACTGTGGGAACAGTCAGCCAGGATCAAGGGCAGTGCTTTCACTCCATCTGCACAGGGACAACGCCTCCGTCTCCCAGACCTGGGGCAGTGGGTATGTGGTGACTATTTGGTAAATACAGAGCTGACCGTCTCACCCCCAGCCCCACCCCCAACACACATACCTTTGTTTTGATAAATATTATCATCTACATTTTATCTGCATGGTTTTTTTCCTTTCTCTCCCCCTTACAGGCCCTCATGAGGAGCTATCACTTTCTCAGAGTGCCCAGACTAAACAAAAAGTTAACAGTCTACTGATGATCCTAAGTGGCTGTTTGAGTCCTCGGGGGAGAGACAACGCGTGCTGCCACCGTCACACCTGCCTCCACCCGAGCTCCCCGGGGAAAGTGGAAGATGGCACTCGGGTCTGCGAGACCTCAGGCTGGTAAAACCCAAGGCAGCAGCAGTGCTAATACATGGGGGGAAAGTCCCAAGTCATGGCAGTGTTTAGAGCCAAAGAGAAGCTCCTGGGCTTACACGGCACTGTTGAAACGACCAACGGCCCACCTCCTGAATAACAGACAGACACGGATGGGCCCCAAACCCAAACAGTAGTACCGTATCAGTTGTCACGTCGTCAGAGCTATTGTAACATAATTAGGACACTGGTGTTCATACGACACAGGACTAATTATATGCAGTGGGAATCACCTGTCATTATACAGGATCTAGAAAACCTGAAACATTATTTACAATGTTTACAACATTAGTTACATACAGAAATCTATGTCTCTGTTCATGTGCAGATCATTAAATACAGCTCAAATTCATTGTTGAGTTACAGTGGGGGAAAAAGACGCACTGTAACTGATAAAAGTAATACTTGAATTAATTCTCTCTAGCTTCCAATGAATTCCAAACATTTCAATGGGAACTTACTGGAGTCACAAGAACACATTTAAGTTATAGAACATAATCATCTAACATGTTTACACACTGAGTCCATATTCCTTGCCCTCTTTTAAAAACATATTTCTCTACCTGGCTGGAGTAGCTCAGTGGATTGAGCATGGGCTGTGAACCAAAGTGTTGCAGGTTCGATTCCCAGTCAGGGTACATGCCTGGGTTGCACGCCATGGCCCCCAGCTACCGCACATTGATGTCTCTCTCTCTCTTTCTCCCTCCCTTCCCTCTCTAAAAATAAATAGATAAAATCTTAAAAAAATAAAAACAATAAAAACATATTTCTCAAATGGAAATAATGTACACCCAGATCTGAATCTATGATTCTCACCCAGATTTCTGAGAGCTGAGATCAAGCGATAAATGATTCGGAAAAGGCTGGGAGATGCCTGCTGCAGCTTCTTTGCAAAAGCCATATAGGAAAGACGATTCCACCTCCTCCTCTGGGACCGTTCGGGGTTTGTTAGACCTCACAGCCATCATCTCCCCTTTCATCTGCTCCACCCTTTGTGGGTTAGGGTCCTGTTTGCCCGGGGAAGGGCGGATTCTCACCATCTCAGAACACAAACCATCACAGATGTGTACGCAGAGGCTGCCTCTAGAAAAATCGCTTTGTTTCTGAAGGAAGTCCCATTTTTATGTGCAAATAAATGGGATGTGTCTGTTTACCAGACATGACAATAGGCTGCTACTCCAACTGCGAGCGTGCGCACACACACACACACACACACACACACACAGCTTTATATTGAGGTATAATTACATACCAAGAATTGCATGTATTTCAGGTTCCTCCAATTATATATTCTGATAAATAGTTTTTTTTATGAATTCTTTTGTTAGTAAAAGTGCACCTTGACTGCATTCTACCAGAAACCTAAAGCCATGGTTTTTCAAAGCTAAGGTTCACACTGTATACCACACCCTACTTTGAAGAGTAACTTCTAAAACTTTGCTGAGTGCGACATCTAGTGCCCAGAACCAGGAAGTAAAAGTAAAGAGTCACTGTTGCCTTTGGCTGGGGGGGGAGGGGGGGATGCAGTCTCAGATACTGACAGGTCCTACCTGAAACAGAGAAAAACAACAGACCCAAACAATACTGCAGTGCACAGTTCTTAGATTAGTTTCTTCACATGTCATCACACACCTTAGCAACCTCACAGAGACGAAAACCCTCCAAATTCCATGCTTCTGGAGACAGAATATCCTCTACCCCTTGACATAGTGCAATATTGCCAAGAAGATAAGAATGTTGTATAAATGCCGTGATACTGCATAATTTAAAAACAAATGTTAGGAAAAGGGAAATTACTCTGACATTCCGAGGGTATGTGTTATCCTGGATGCAAAAAGACAATAGGTTCAGATAAGGTGAAGACTGGCCTTTGTCCAGGATGATACCAGCCTAGGACATGACTACACATCATGACTCACTTTTAATTAGAAAGTTTTAATTTCAGACCATCCTATGTGGTTACTTTAGGTCTCTGTGTTTGTAAGGCCACCATGCAGGCCTCCCCTGAGCTTGGCAGGTTTAGCATGTGGCCCCTTTTTCATCTACAGGACAATAACACGACAGGCAACTACTGGGCTGAATAGTATCAGGACAGGCAGCTCCCTGGCTGAGTTATTTTGCAATAGGCATCTACTACTGCAACAGACAGCTACCCAGCTGGGCTGTGAGGATATCGCAACAGGCAGCTACTGTCACAAAAGGCAACTTCCCTGCCAGGTATTCTCACAAGAGGCAGCTGTTATCACAAGAGGCAGCTACCCGACCAGGCACTGTCACAAGAAATGGCAACTGCCAGGAGAGGCAGCCATTACCACAACAGGCAGCCAGTATTGGAAGAGGCAAGCAACTATCACAAGAGGTGGGCACTGTTGCGGCAGACAGACACTATGGTGACAGGAGGCCACTGTGACAACAGGAAGGCACTATCTCAAGAAGCAACCACTATCACAAGACACAGCCACTATCATGACAGGCAGCCAGTATCACAAGAGGAAGACACTGTCGGGAGAGGTGGCCAGTATTGCAAGAGTCAGCCAGTATCACAAGAGGCATTCATTATTGCAAGAGGTGGCCATTATTGCAAGAGGCAGCCAATATCACAACAGGCAGCCAGAATCATGATAGGCAGCCACTACTGCGAGAGGCAGAATGTATCACAAGAGGAAGATGCTGTCATGAGAGGTGATCAGTATTGCAAGAGTCAGCCAGTAAGCAAGAGGCAGTCACTATCACGAGAGGCGGCCAGTATCGAGACAGGCAGACACTATCATGCCAGGCGGTCACTGTCGCAACAGGCAGTCAGTATCGTGACAGGCGGCCAGTATCATGCCAGGTGGCCACTGTCATGACAGGCAATCAGTATCTCAATAGGTGGCCACTGTTGTGACAGGTGGCCAGTATCATGCCAGGTGGCCACTGTCACGACAGGCAATCAGTATCTCGACAGGTGGTCAGTATCGTGACAGGCAGTCACTATGTCTGGACAGGCAGTCAATATCGTGACAGGCAGTCACTGTTGCAACAGGCGGCCAGTATCATGCCAGGTGGTCACTGTCATGACAGGCGGCCAGTATCTCGGCGGGTGGTCACTATTGCAAGAGGCAGCCACTATCATGACAGGCAGTCACTATCTCGAGAAGCGGCCACTATTGCAAGAGGCAGCCAGTATCACAACAGGTAGCCAGAATCATGAGAGGCAGCTGCTATCTCGAAAGGCAGCTACTGTCAGGAGAGTTTGTCTCTATCAACAGGAGGGCACTATCACGACAGGCAGCTACTATCACAAGAAGCAGTCTCCATCATGACAGGCAGCTACTACATTGAAAGGCAGTTACTTCCACAGAGGCATTCATTACTGTGAGAGGCAACCCCTGTCACGAGAGGAAGATGCTATCACAACACACAGCCACTCTCATGAGACAAAGACACTATCGAGACAGGCAGCTACAATCTCGAGGGGCAGCCACAATTTTCAAAGGCAACCACTGTGTGAGAGGGCACCACCACGACAGGTGGTCACTATCACAAGAGGAAGACACCATAACAACAGGCAGCCACTACCACAACAAACCCTTACTGTCACCAGAGGCAGCCACTATCGAGAGTTAGCTTCTACCGCAACAGCAAGACATTATCACAACAGCCAGCTACTATTGAGAGAGGCAGCCACTATTGCCAGAGGCAGCCACTATCGTGAGAGGAAGACATTATCACGAGAGGCAGCCACTCTCTCGAGGAACAGCTACCCAGCCAGGAGCAATCACGAGAAGCAGCTGCTATCACGAGAGGCAGCTACAGGGGCCAGACTATGTCACGACAGGCGTCTACACAACCTTTCCCACAATAGGTCAGCAATTGCAGCGGGAATGCATGGCTATAGTGCCACCCTCGTGGGAATACTCATGCTGCCTTTTCAGACAAGGGAGAC